ACAATCTACTTTTGCCTTACTTTTAAATTCATTCAATTAAATACCCTATTTACTCTACATTTATTTTTTTTAAAAAAAATCTAGATGAGTCTTTGATCACTCTAGTAGGTTTAGGTTGCAGATAAAGTAGTTTAAGCTTTTATTCTTGCATATAGTTTTTACTTTTTATATTTTATATATCAAGGTTAGCAACTCCTTATCATTACTATAATAAAAACTATTAATAAAGATATGAGCAAGGCCTCACCTTAATACTGAAAAAAATAAAAAAACTATTATTAGAATCATTTTAATAAGCTTTACAACTTTAATTAGAAACTCAAAGATAATTAACTTAGTACAAAAAAGTTTAAAACTCTAATATCTTTAAATAAGTTTTAGACAAACAATATTTTGCATTTACCTAGTATATATATAATTAATAACTATTATAATAGCTACAAATCTAAATAAATATTCAAAATCAAAAACTTTTATATTATAATTATAACTATAAAATCTATTATTATTTAAAGATTATTAACTATATTATTTTTGTATTTATAATAATTGTAGCAGATTAAAATAAAATCAGATTAAAATGAAATAAGAGATAATATAAAATAGACAAGTTACTGAAAAAATACAAATTTTTGGGATATATTTTTTTAGCATTTTTTAGATTTAGAATTAGGGTTTAGAAGCAGGTTTTATAATAAACAAGTATAAGTAGATTTTAAAGCATCAAATAGAAACTCTTTATTTTATTTTAATCTGATTTTATTATAATCTGTGATAATAATTAATAGGTTCTTATATATTATAATCAAAAATTCTTATAAAATTTTATACTTTTTTACTATTTATTTGTTAATTTTATATATATTATATTATAATATTAGTAAAATTTATTAGTATAGTTAGTCACATTCGTTAAACTCTTTCTAACGATCATCTGGTCAACAAAAATCAAGAAACTGAACTATGGTCAGCACTATAGAAGACATCAAAGTAAATAATAAACTTGGTTCTACAGAAGTAGATGTGTTGTTGATGAAGTACCAAGAGTGTAAAACCAAGGCATGGTCTACTTTGAACTGGTTTTTGTAGAGGTCAAGCTCTTCTTCTGGCAGACTCCTCTATTATATTTGGTATTCAAATCAAAAGGATATTTTGAGAACATAGAATGACAAGGTCGACACCAGGAGTATTATAAACTTTGGGTCTATCTATATAACTGTAAAACTTACAAGGAACAACTACAGAAAAGTTTCATTGACCTACCACTTTCTTCGAGGAAATTTTGTCAAAAAGTGAGTGTCTTAGCTTATCCTCTCCAAAAGATCAACATGTAATTTACCAAAACAGTCAGTATTGTTTACCTGTTTATATTGTGAATAAGACCTCCTAAAACAAGAAAGCAGTTGTCATTCAGAATAAGCAACCGAGTATGTATCGTAGAACAATACAAACACATGTCTCGCTATCAAAAAAACTGTTTAACAATACTTCGAGACTTCTGGTTCTGGTTCAGATTTTGGGCTAACTCTATCTAGTGATGACTATGGTGCTCTAGCTTCGGCCAGCTTTTTTAATTTTTTTTATCCTTAAGCATAGTTTATTAGAATAGAGATTGTTATAGAGCTTCTTTATCTAGTAATATATAATTTTTTCAGCCCAACACAGGCTTTTAAATGTGACCTGTCAGATTTCTTTTTTTTCTTTTTTACCTATATTTCATTTTTGTTTTTGTTTTTTAGTATTAGTTTTCATTTCTTTTTTCTTCCCTATTTAGGATTAGTATTAGTATTAGTGGATTTTTTTTGTTTTTTTCACTTCTTTATGAAAAGATATCATCAGATTGGCGGTATCCTATTGTAGGGTAGTAGTTTGACATGGGTTCTCGGGGTTAACCCAGGCATTAGACTAAGGTTATCAAGGTTCTTTAATGGAAGTTCGGCCCGGTGTGGCTGGTCACTTGTAAGTGCTCTTTGAAGTAACTGCAGGATGTCAGGCCTAAATATTAAGCTCAACATTATGTAATTTATTTGTATAATAATCTTAATAAAGGATCACTGGCAAGACAGCCAAAGTGAAAAAAAAAATATTAGTATAGTTAGTATATTTAATTTAATATTTTAATATATATATTTTATTAAATTTTTAATATTAGTTTGTTAATAAAATTTTTAGTATTTATATTAAATTAGAATTATTATATAGTATATTAAAAAGATAGATTGAATAAATATATTAAATATTATATAAAATATTAAATAGGTTTATTAAATAGTATTATTAAAACTCTTTTTTGTAGATTCTAATTTTATAAGTAAATAAACAACAATAATACAAAAGCAACAAAGATTAGAAAATAGTACGATTATACTATAACTAAATAATTATTATAAAGCATTAACACAACAAAGCTTATTAAAATTAAACAGAACTGAGAGATAGCTTTTAATATTCTAGTCTTATTTCTAACTCTGTTGTTGACTATATTAGCAATTGACAAAAACAATAACAAGAATAACAAAAAATATATAGCAAGTCCCAAAGAAAACAATATAACTTATATACGTCTACATAGATAACTGTAGTTTAATAGATAAACTAAATAAGAAAAGAAAGCATAAAATTGATGACAACACCTTTACCTCTACATCTTCTACTATTAACAACAATATTGTTAAAGAAAATTATAAGGAAATAACAGATTCTACTTTATTTTCAAATCTGACAAGAATAACATCATTATCTAAAACAACAACAAATCTAATCTAAGACTCAAAACAATCTCTAATACATAATTCTCCTACAGATAAACAAATTAAGCAGGTCTTAACCCAGGGTATGATCTCTTCTATATTAGAACAACTCAAAAATATAAACAATTTGATCCTATTTAAACTGAACTCCAAACCTATCTGGTAAACAAATATCTCATCCAATATAGAAATAGACCAGAACATGATAAGTCCAGATAGTGAAAACAATAAAAAACTTGTTTTATTAATACAGTATTAGATAAACAACTACAAACAAAAATATTATATAGTTAGGCAGTTAGCAAAAATCTACCAAACAGAACTAGAAAGACCCTAAACAAGCACTTTACTAATAATATAGCAAAAGAATAACAAGAATATATACAAGCAGCCCTCAAAGAAATTAGATAAGAAAGACTCAAGCTCTTTAACACAACTATTTGAACCTATTAGAAAATCAAAAATATACTAATTTTACTTCAAAACCTTAAAGAGTTAATTAGATATAAACTATCAACAAAACCAATCTCTAATTACAGAGTTGGTATATAATGATATTAGTATTTGAACAATTTAGATATTTAAATATTTGAACAATATTCAATTGTTCAAATAATTTGATTAAATATTGTAGATTTTTTTATTGGATATAAAAAAAAATTAATTTAATTTTAGCTTAAATTAAACTTAATTCAGGCTAATATTCACTAATATGTAATTTTACAAAATTAAAGATTATATCTGTTAAAAAAATCTCTGAGTATTATTAAATTATTTAAATTATCTAAATAAATTATTATATATTTCAGATAACTGTATAGTAAGGGCAATGTTATTTATCATCTGATTATTTTTTATCAAAAGCTTACCTTCCTTCCTCCTTTTAATATAAAAAAAAATCAGATTCTTATATTTAATTTTAATTTTTTTTTACCTTCTTTAAAAAATCACCTGATTTTTGTCATATCTCCAATAGTTTTTACTTAGGTCTAATTTCTATAAAATATAAACTGATAAATATTATTAAGGTTGCTGGCTAGAAATGAAAGGTTACAACTTTTTAACTTTAGTAAACTATTATATCAGGTAACCTTATAAATTATTTTTTTTATAAAACCTTCAGATTCTTTAAATTAGTAATTATCAAATTTGTAAATATATATACTTTAAAACTATATTACTATATAAATAATAAACTATATAAACTTATATAATTTTATATATTTTACAAATATTTTATATATTTTATAGACTTTTAGTAATACTATACAAAAATATATATATATATATTTATATAATTGTTAAATGACTTTACATTTACAAAATTTTTATATCAAATAATTACATAATATTATTGTAATTATATGATATTATATAGATATATGAACCTTCAAGTTTTAAGCATAAACTAACTAGTTTTGGTAAATAAAATATTCTTATTTTTGTTTCATTATACTAATATCTATAGCTAGCTTCTTATAATATAAAATTGCTAGCTAATACCATACAAGTTAATATTTATTTTACTTTAATAAATTTACGAACCCTGGTTGTTCTAAATAATTTTATCAAAAAGGGTTTCTAATTTCAATTTAGTTTGAAATATAATAACAAGATTATTATTCAAACTATGTTCTGTTAATTCCTTATCTAAATAATCTTCATTTAAATTATTTAATTCTAATATTACTTCTTTCTTTTTTTCTATAAGAGAATTTCAATTATTTATAGTTTCTTGCTATTCATTAACTGAACTAATTTTACTATTTTTTTTTAAATTATTTAACTCTGTATTTTCATCTTTTGACTCTTGAGTTATTTCATCTAGAATAGCAAAAAAAAAGAATTTTTTAAATTAAAAATATGTTTTATCTTATTTATACAAAATGCATAATATATAGATAAAAATTTTTGATAAAAATATCATAATTATTAAGATTAAGTGATTTAAATAATGATTTATAAGTATTTGCTACTTTATGATTAGTTTTATAAGCAATTGATTAATTAAATATAATGATGATTTATAATTATTATATAGTTTTACAAACAGTTTTATATAGTTTTACAAACAGTTTTATATAGTTTTACAAACAGTTTTATAAATGATTTATAAAAGGGTTATAACTATGAAAAACAATTTGTAATTATCATAATATATATTCGATTCACTTAGTATTTGTTTTAGAACAAAAAAAAATTTAATATAAAACTTCATGTTTTAAAATACTTGCTATTTCTATTTTTGAATAGTATTGTATATGTTGCAACTTGTGTTTGTATAAACTTTTTTTTGACTTACTGTATTAATTCGTAATCTGTAAGTAAGGGAAAGCCTATGATTAATGATCGGCGGAGTGCATTTCATATCAAAACAATCAATATCTATAATCTGGAGCCAAAATTAAAATTTCTCGATTTCTGTCAAGTTAGCATCTTTTGGTTTTCTAATAAAAATCGCAGAGAAAATTTTCTTCTTTCTAATGATAGTAAAATCATCAAAAGTAATCCAATAGATCATGAAATATTGCTATTTCCTCTTTGCGATCATATGAAATTTTTTTGCAGATCGGCAATGAAATTTCATATGATCGCAAAGAGGTAAATAGCAATATCTCATGATCTATTGAATTACTTTTGATGATTTTACCACCATTAGAAAGAGGAAGATTTTCTCTGCAATTTTTATTAGAAAACCAAAGATGCTAACTTGACAGAAATCGAGAAATTTTAATTTTGGCTCCAGATTATGTTTTGATACGAAATGCACCCCACCAATCATTAATCATAGTCTTTCTCTTACTCACAGATTACGAATTAATTTAATTTATTCAGTGTGAATATATTAGATTACTATATATCTGACACATCACTACTATCTTTGCAGGCTAAAAATTTAAATTAATAAGTATTTACTAAATATATACTATAGTAAATATTTGTATATATAATATTAAGTATACTTGTTTTTTTGAAAGTTATGTAACCAACCCATAGTAGAAAATAAGCATTCAATAGATACTAAACTAATACAAAAAAATATATTGTTTAATAAAGTATAACTCTATAGTAAATCTATTTACAAATTTTTAAAAAGAAAGAATATCACTATTTTTTTTAAATTGTTAATAATCTTGATCTTGAAATAAATATAATTTTTTTCAATATCACTATAATTCATTTAAAAAATATTCTGAATTACATTCAAGCCAGGCTTTATAATAGTCTAATAAGCATTGATCAATATAAAGAAAAGATAGATTGCAGATTTGCTTATTAAATATATTATCACAATATTCAAGATGAAGTAAAAAGCTTAATAGTAATAACAGTTGTTTCT